GTACCAAAAAAAAATCCACCCCTTGGTGATTCATCAACAAACTCTATTCTACTCCTGACTGTCCAAGTAGATGCAGAAAAAGATATATGTCTGACCTGAGCTACATTTTGAACAGGCCAAAGAAATCTGAACTGCTTGCTTTGACATAACAGATAAAGAAATGCATACCAGATTTGAACAGGACAAGGTGCTAACGAGTTAAGACCTACTTAATTTTCATCACAACTATCCACACTGAATGACTCAGGAAGAACTTGGAGAACTCTTCTCTGCAGGGCAGGGACGGAGGTGCTCTGAGGCAGTTGTGGAGGAAATACAAAATACAGTTCTGGATTAGGAGTCATTCCCCCTTTGTGATGATGTGTAAACACAGACAGGCAGTGTAATGCACTTCTTCACTCCGCTCCCAGCCTCAGTTTACACTTCTGTCACAATTCATTTTCCCTCAGAGCTGTTTCTATGGTGATTCTCCTCATAGGGAGTTAATCAGAGTGGCAGGCCCTCTTTTATTTTATACATTCGTATCCGTCAGTGGCTGCTAGTAGAATGCATGTGCCGGACACTGAGAATTTGTTAGATTTGACTTTACTTTTGTTACAAACAAAAGAGAAGATAAAGATCTACTTTCCTTATGAATAGCGATGTAGATGTACACATGTATCCATTCACACCATCAAACCCATCAAACCCAATCCCAAGGCAGGCACTGATGGCTCACACCTGGAAACCTCACTACTCGAGAGGCTGAGCTCTGAGGACTGGGTTTCAAAATCAGCCTGGGCAGAAAAGTCTGTAAGACTCTTATCTCCAATGAACTGGCTAAAAGTTGCAAGTGGAGGTGTGGCTTCACTGGTAGAACACCAGCTTTAAGCAAAAAAGCCCAATCAGAGCACAAGCTTCTGATTTCAAGAAAACCAGTCATTGGGCTGGGAAGGTGGCTCAATGGTAGAGTGCTTGCCTTGCATGCATGAGGCCCTGGGTTCAATTCCTCAGCACCACATAAACAGAAAAAGCTGGAAGTGGTGCTGTAGCTCAAGTGGTAGAGCACTAGCCTTGAGCTGAAGAGCTGAGAGACAGCACTTAGGCCCAGAGTTCAGGCCCCACGACTGACTGACAAGAAAAAAAGAAAGAAACAAAGAAAACCAGTCACATCCACAGCAGTCTGAGGCAGGATTTATGGGGAAGTACTAAAAATGGACAAAGACATTAAAAATGATACAGTGCACTCTGTAAGACAGATACAAACAGCTGAAAGGCTTTTTCTGTGAGAAGAGGACTTGTTTTCTAATATGGAGTGAGACTTAACTGGCCTCATGATATCATCATTACAAACCACGATAAGCATCCTATAAAGATGCTATGCTCTGCTGGGAATCAGGGGTGTGTGTGTGTGTGTGTGTGTGTGTGTGTGTGTGTAAGAGAGAGAGACAGACATAGACAGAGACAGAGAGACAGAGACAGAGACAAAGAGAAAGAGAGAAGCGGGTGCTATGATTATTCGGATGTAATTTGTTTTTCCTAAAACCCAAAACAAATCAGAAATCAGGAATCTTGCCTGCCACTGGTGGCTCACACCTATAATCCTTGCTACTCAGGAGGCTGAGATTTGAGGATGGAGGTTCGAAGGCAGCCTGGGGAGGAAAAATCCATGAAAGTCTTATCTCCAATGAACAATAAAAAAAGCCAGAAGTGGAGCTGTGGTTCAGAAGCTCAGGGACAGCACCCAGGTCCTGAATTTAAGCCCTAGGACTAACGCTCTCTCTCTCTCTCTCTTTCTCTCTTTCAGAAATGATTTTCACTTGCTCTCCTCCCTCCATGTAAAACACAAGGAGTCCTACTTTTCTGTCAGCCCCTTTCTGGGAGAAAATATAGAGATGGAGTTATCAAATATAGAGATAAACATATATAAGATATAGAGGTGCTCTTGCTTTGGTAAATACACATCTGAAGTAAGATAAAGATGGCTTTTGAATCCTGCCCACCCCTGGCATAGCTCCTGCTATGGTCTCCTGGGGCTGGGTGGGAGGCTGCTCCTGGTCTCACGATCACACACGTTGGGGGTAGGGCTCGTGTCCAGGGTGACTTGGTGTCACCGGTGTCACTGGGGGGCCATGGTGCATCTCCTGCTGGGCGGCCTGGGCTGGTTTGGGGAACAGGCCCTGAAGAACTGCTGTGTTCCGTTCCTCTTCCCTGCACCCAGAGTGGCTCCCTGACCTGGCTGAGTTGGTTCAGTGGAATGTTTTCTTTTCATCTTGACTACTGCCTTGCAGATTGCTTCCCCCCACCCATAGGTGTTTTTTAAACAATCCCTTCTAAGGCATTTTACTGGAACTCCATAAGGATTCGACTTGTATCTCTTCTTCTTCCTTTTCGGCAGGCTGAGAAACACGTACAGTTTGGACCTGGGAGAATATGATTGAAACCTGACACTGCCTGATTAGCCTCTTTTGTGCTGTGTCTCTCCTTCTTCTTCCTTTCTTCTCTTATATATTTTTGGTCTGAGATTGGGATTTGACCTGACACTTTCACTCATGGGCTAGCGCCGTAGCCATCCAGCCATGCTTCTCACCCCTACCCATTTCCCTTCTATGTTTGAGCACATAAAATCCATGTGTTTGCGATTTGAATTGAGATGAAATGAAATGTCGAGGAATTAACATGAACAGCGTAAGGCACACAATGGGGGGAAAATTCAAAACCCCCAAAGAACCTACACAAAATCAAAGGCAAGTCTGACAGTACTACATCTGCTTTGGTTTTTCTTACTACTTTGGATTGTTTCTCTATATACCTAACTGGAAATTGATCTCAGCGAGATGTCGGTGGCTCACACCTGTAATTGTAGCTACTCAGGAGGCTGAGACCTGAGCATCAGGGCTCACAGCCAGCTGGGCCAGTCCCTGAGATTCTTATTTCCAAGCTTGACAAATCCCAGGAGGAAGAGGAGCAAAGAGGCCAGGGAACCCCGCCCCAGAATTGTGCTTCAGACAGCTTCCTACTGACTTTGAGTTTCACTGTTTTGGTTGGTCAGGTATAATCCTCCAGGTCTGGCACAACTTTGAGTTCGTGGGATTTCAAAACAAGTCCCAACTTGATCAGAGAGCATACAGGTTTTAAGAACCTTCGAAAAGAGCCCAGTGAGAGACAGCAGGGGCCTGGGCCCAGCCCAGGCCCAGGGGATGCCAGAGGCGGCTTGCTGTCTTGCTGTAGTGTAAATGAAAAAACACTTTTCCAAAGGAAGCAGTTTGCCAATTTAATTTGCATTTAAAATTGAAAAGCACAGAAAAATCATTTATGTTTTATTATTTATTGTTATTGTTATTATTATTACTATTTTGTACTGGTGCTATGGTTTGAACTCAGGGCCTGGGCCCTATCCTTTAGATTTTTGTGCTCAAGGCTGGTTATCTACCACTTGAGCCACAGTTCCCCTTCTGCCTTTGGGCTGGTGAATTGGAGATAAGGGTCTCACAGATATTTTTGCCTGGGCTAGCTTCAAAGGGAGATCCTCAGATCTCAGCCTTTTTAGCAAGGATTTAAAGGTGTGAGCCACATGTACCCAGCTCTGTGCTGTCTCTGTGTATGTGTGTGTTGTCTCCATCTTATTTTACTTTTCCCACAATGCACTATGACCTGTAAGGTACACAGTCACATACCAGCTCTAATGTTTCATAACGAAAACCAAGTTTTCCTTTCCTTCTCTCCTTGCTTTTTTCTTTAACATAAATAAATTAAGCCCCAGTAAAGCCATCATTTAAGCATGGGCCAATCTGCCCCTTCGGGAATAAATAATGCTGGCCTAGTTCTGACACATGAGTTTCTATCCAATCTGTAACAAAGTCTGTTTTAATCCAATGTTCAGAACTTCCACCTTCAGCCGGTATTTCTGAAATGCTTTTCAAAGGAATTTCAATCATTGCTAAATAATTTAAAAGGCTTAAATTTTGTTTAGAAAGTACAGAGTTGATGAATCAACTTTGTAAACTATTTCAAAGTAGAATAATAAATAATTTGGGTGAAAAACAAATTGCCCCATGGTGAATTATCTACGCAAGTACAGAAGGCACTGCGTCGCTGCACAGGGAATTGTCACCACTGTCACGCATGCTTTTCAAAGGAAGTAAAATATTAATCACATTTGAATCGCAGGTTCATACACCTGAGAGGTGTTCAGGCACAGATGGAAGGGTCACAGATTCTGTTCTTAGGAACCCTGGTGAGCTGCTGCCTAATAATGCGGATGTCCGGATAAGGGGACATGACCTCGGTCAACTTTGTGGTTTGTGTGCTGGTTCTGGGACTTGAACTCAGGGCCAGGAGACTCTCCTTTGGCTTTTTCACTCAAGGCTGGTGCTCAACCACATGAACTACAACTTCATTTTTGGCTTTTTGCTGGTTCATTGGAGATGAGTCTCATGAATGTCTTTGCCCCTGATGGCTTTAAACCATGACCCTCACAGGTCATGCTCCTGGGTCGCTAGGATGACAGATGTGAGATTTGGCGACTCATCAGCTATACAAACACTGTTAACAGCACCTTTAAATTCAATGTAGTGTACACCAAGGTAATAGATGATATAGAAAGAGGAGCAGGGATTTTCCCAATTGACAAATGGATCTCAGCTCTGCAATGTCTTTCCCAAGTCAGTAAGTATTGAACACAATTTATATTTATTTAGTGATTTATGCTGTAAGGGCTTGCTCTGACACATCTTGAGTATTTCAAGTCCTTATGTCTGGTGGAACCTCATCATTGGTTCAGAGCTTGTTTGTAAATTGTGTCCTACTGAAAGATGCATATATGAAAGACACTTCTAAAAAACTCCACAGCACTGAGATTGCTGTTGGCTAATGTCCCATGCACAAGGCTGAAAAGCTCTGCTACAACATTTGAATAAATAATGCATCGACTTAATAGGTTACCATTTTAGAAGGAAACATGAAAAGCAAGAGGTCAAACATTTACTATGTCCTCCAGAGAATAGCTGCAGTTAAAGCTTTTGTGGAGTGAAGCAGATGGCAAAAGTTTTGTTATGTTCAAAGAAAACATAACAGGATGAACTTTGACGCCGCTAGGAATGGGAGAGAAAGAAAAGAAAAGGTAATTCTGTATTGCAAAAAGTATTTGATAGTATTTTATTACTACTAAAGTAGATAATAACCTAGCACTTAGAATTCACTGATCAAGGTAACAGTGATATTTTAAACTATTGAGTATAACATCAAGAAATTTAAGTAGAGAAGAACAAAAACAAGATGGTCATTTTTTCAGCTAGTAAAACATCATGGCAGAGATGTTAGAATAAGAATTTATAAATAAACAATAAGCTCTTTGTTTACTACCAGTACTTACTGACATCCATTGTGTAAAAATTTTAAAATGGTATACATTTGTAAGTTGTATCAATTCATGATAAATTATATCAACATTTAAAAATTACACCAAATGAAAATTACAGACATGAAATCATAGCTCTCATCAGATTCTTACCTAGCGACCCAAAAGGCAACGTACGTTTGTCAAACTTTAAGTCATATTATTGACATCAACAAATCCTATTTGATATATTTATGCCTCATAAAAATAGCCAGAAATCTGTCACATACAAAAAGAATGGAAAACTGTTACCCAAGGCTTTTATTAACGCTCATGAATATTTTGTGTTTTTCAATAACTCACAGATAGTTTATTGTGGTATTAGTATAGTAGGCAAGGTTATTGTTTTTAGTTATTATTTTAGAATTATTAATATTAGAAATAGCTACCCTCACTACAGGAATTGTGAGAGCCCTTTATTTCCCATCTACGTGTCTGGATCCATGTAATTGGTGTGTTGGAATGTCTCATGCAATGTCATGTCTTGTCTCTGTCCCTGTGGAGATTACTCCTGGGGCACTTGTAGAGGTGCGGCTGTCCCAGGATTCCTTTGAAGTCATTCCTGCTCCAGCAACGCACATCCAGTCTAGGAAAGTGATGAGTGGCTACAGCTTCCCCTGAGAGAAGGCCTGCAGCCACCTCTGCCCGCCCAGCCCACCTGACAACGCTGTTTTCAGGCAGATTTGCTTTCTGTTCTTTTCCTCTTCTGTCCATCCTCGCTCAGGCTGGCTGCCAGCCATTCTAACCTTCCAGCTTGGCCTGTAGAGAAAACCAAGATGGAGGTGGAGAAGAGGGGGAAGTGTACAGAAAATCAGAGCTGTCAGAGCTGGCAAGTGACAGAGAGACTTACGAATGCTATTTCCAGAATGGCAGGAGCTCTGTACAGATAACACCCAGAGGCTGAGCTGTGCTGCTGTCATGGGAGGGAGGGAAATGATTTTTAGTGTATGAGTATGTTCCAGACATAGCAAGGAGTAGGCTATGTACTCTAGTATTTCTACTATTCTAGTATTTCTATACTAGACATTACCCACTTGAAATAGGAGTTAGACTAGTTTCTGGTGTTTGGGTGGTTGATTCTGCCAGTGCTGTGACACCTCTGGTCTGTCTTCAGGAGCGTGTCCAGTGCCTCCTCTAGGCCTTGCAGCAACCGCTGCCTTTGGCACATCCCTTTGACGCGTTCTGGCTTTGTTCTCTAATGGAATGCACAGGCATTTCTGGTGCTCTGGGGTAGTAGAAAAGCAGTCGGGGAATTTTGGCTTCTACTGATTGCAGGATAAGTGGAAAAACCCAGATCTGCCTGCCAAGCGGCGAAAGCCCAGGGCTACGAAGTACTGAAGAAGTAAGAAGGATGAAAGAACGAGGAAATAAGGATCAGATAGTAAACCTCACAGGAAAACCAGAAAACCGTCTTCCAGGCCTTCAGGTCTTGCGATGCAACCCAAGGACCAAGATGGCTGGTGGGGCTGCGGGCTGTGGACGCCGTGTCCTCCTTCCCTGCCAGATTCTCTTTGAGCACACTTGCCCCGCACCATGTCTGCTGTGTCAGCTGGGAGTGAAGGATTGAGCAGTTCCTTTTCTGATGTCTCCGTTACCTATTTCAGTGCCATCACCCTTCAAAAGGATGAATGGGCCCGACTGACCCTTATTGTGGCAGCATTGTACACACCAACTTAAATATATATGGAAGGGTTGTGTATGAATGTGGTGTGTGTGTGTGTGTGTGTGTGTGTGTGTGTGTGTGTGTGTGCGTGAGCATATGTGCTGGCACTGGGGCTTGAACTCAGACCTTGAAGTATGCTCTCACTTGGCTTTTTATTTTGGGTTTTTTCCTCAAGGCAGGTGTTCTACTACTTGAGCCATACCTCCACTTCTGGATTTTTGTTGGTTCATTGGAGATGAAAGTTTCAGGGACTTTTCTGCCTGGATTGGTTTCAAACCAGTCTCAGATTTCTGAATGGTTAGGATTACAGGTGAGAGCCACTAGTGCCTGACTAATGAAGAATTTTTTTAGGTTTTCTCTGAGAGAGAGAGAGAGAGAGGGAGGGAGGAGCAGTCTGAATTAAACTTTTTTTGAAACCAAAAGGCAGAGGAATTTTTATCATTGGAGTGTGGGTGTGGCTCTGTGATATAGTAATTGTCTGGCAAGCTAGAGACCTTAGGTTCCAACCCCAGCTTTATATAAATTAAATAAAAAACAAATAAATGAGTGGATGAATGAATGAATGCTAAAAGGCTTTGGCGTTCTTAGAGTTCAAAGGGGAGCACAGGGCATCGGTGATGGCTCACAGACTTTAAGTAAATCAAACATTCTCCAGTGTTTGGAGGGAATGAAGTCCAGCAGCTCTTGAATTTAGGCTCCAGCCCTCCTACAGAGGCCAAGGTGCCTGCACTTCTTTAAGAATTGAATTTTAAAAGGAAAACTGTCAGGGCCAGGAGCAACACAGTTCTAGGTTGTGAGATTGTAAAGAACTTTTATAAAAAGATTCACAAATCAAAAAGAGCAGTAAAAGTATAATCGAAAGATTTTTAAAGTCAGTTCTTCCTCTCATTTTCTTTTTCTTTCTCTTTTTATCTCCTTCCTTCCTTCCTTCCTTCCTTCCTTCCTTCCTTCCTTCCTTCCTTCCTTCTTCATTCCTGTATTTGTTCTTTTCCTCTCCCAGGCTTGACCTCAGGACTTGTGCTTGCTTAATTGGCTCTTTACCACCTCAACCCACCTCCAGCCCTGCTTTTTGCTGGTCATTTCGAAGATGGAGTGTTGCAAAGTGTTCAGCCTTGGCCAGCTTCAAACTGTGAATATCTAGACATCATTAGCTGCTTAGTATGAGCTAATGGCGCTCGGACCAGACACTGCTATTAACCACTCCACACATGAAGCTGGACTCTAGGTCATCTCATCTGTGCCATTTTGAAGTCTGCCAGTCCTCAGGGTTCTTACCTAACACCTGTTCTTCCTAGCTTGGAAACTCAGCAGCAGTGCCCAGTTGCCTCTTCTCCAACTAGGGGCTGTGTGACACTTCGTCATGAGATCAAATCCTGCCTCGTTCTTTCTAAACTTTGCGCTTATTTATGTTCTTACTGTTCTTCTGCTTCCCAGTGACACTGGCTTGAACTTCTCCCCAGCTTCCTTCCTACAGTGTCTACCACTGGCCTCACCCTCCCCATGGATTCCAAAGACTGTTGGAGGTTGCAGGATAATCATGATGTCAACAAGCCCTGCTGGGTCTGTTTTCAATGCTTTTGCAGGTGTGATCCTACCAGTGAGAGGTCTAGAGGATGAGCCAAGCCTCCTCCTGCCCAACTCCTGCTCAGGCTGTTTCTCCTCAAGTGCCCTTCCCCAAATCCTAGCTACCAAAATGCCCTATCTATTCGTCTGTCTGTCTGTCTGTCTGTTTGCCTGTGTCTCTCTCATTTATTTTATGCTAGTACCGGGGCTTGAACTCAGGCCCTTGTACTCTTCCTTGGCTTTTTCTAATGTAAGCAACTCTACCACTTGAGCCCCACAGTTCCACTTCTGGATTTTAGCCGGTTAATTGGAGATGAGAGTCTCATCCATTTTTCTGCTTTTGAACCACAGCGCTCAGATCTGAGCCTCCTGAACAGCTGGGATTACAGGCATGAGCTGCTGGCACCCACTAGAAGATGTTTTGACAATTAAAATGTGATGAGGAAAAACTATAGAAATGCGATGGTAACATTTTGGGTTTTTTTTTTGGTGGTTAAACGTCTTCTCCTCACCTATAAATCCACTACAAAATATTGGGAAGAGGATATTCACATATAGTATGGGTTTAATATGAATTAAATGATTGGCATTCAGAACCAGGTTATAGTTATTCAGGGAAGTAGTCGGTTCACTGAGGGCAATCTGAGCATAATTTAATTTGCACTCCTCTTTGCTAGAACGTGCCTCTTGTGTAATTCAGGGGCCTGCACACTCCTTGAGCCTTTCCTCAGAGCTCACAGATTTTCTAAAAACCAGAAGGGGACACAACAGTTATAAACTAAACTATAAACACTTGTTATTGAACTGCTTTCCAGCTATATTAATTTTCATCATCTTCATGTTTAGGGATTGTGTTGAGAAGCAGAACTGCTCTGAAAATGGAAAAGGAAACTAATTAGTGTTGGGCAGAGTGCTTTCCTGTGCCTGGAAAAGGCTCTTTGGCAGTACCATTTGAGCAGCTCCATCATAAGTTAAGAAAAATGTTACAACATGGTCTTTGTTGGAAATACATAGTTAATATCCCACAAAACATTTATTACTATTTATATAGTAATATAAAGTAAGATAAATTATATATAATATAAATTATACTAATAAAATTATACATTATATAAATTAAAATCAACTATAATATAAATTGTATTTATATCAACAAATTTAATCATAGAATTTATAATTAAATTAATTATAATCAATGTGATCCTATATTTTTATATATTACAAAGGCATAACAGTATGCTATATATTGTAATATCAATTATAATATGTAATGTACATTATAACATGTTATAATTAATACCCATGTTAACTATAATATAATATGGATGTTATGTTTGTAATATAATATGTTAATTATATACTATATTAATGTTATATAATATTTATACTTATGAATGTTCACCTTTATATTTATTATGTAAATACAAATTGTGACTTCTGGTTTCAAAATAAATATGTCCAATATACTCTGAATTTTAACTTCTCTAAAAAGTTAGTCTACTGAATACTAGTAGCTAAAACACATGAGTATACATGTAATCAGTATTCAGTCCATTAACCAGAGTAAAAACCTTTTTGATTTTGAGATTTTATTTATGAACTGGAATTGTGAGACTTTTCAGGCCACTGTGAAGTCACAGCAGGGAGCCAGCAGCCCTGTGCTGCAGAGTGTCAGTGAGTGGTGTGAAGCCCTGTGCTGGAGAGTGTCAGTGAGTGGTGTGAAGCCCTGTGCTGCAGAGTGTCAGTGAGTGGTGTGAAGCCCTGTGCTGCAGAGTGTCAGTGAGTGGTGTGAAGCCCTGTGCTGATAAGTGTCAGTGAGTGGTGTGAAGCCCTGTGCTGGTAAGCGTGAGTGGTGTGAAGCCCTGTGCTGCAGAGTGTCAGTGAGTGGTGTGAAGCCCTGTGCTGCAGAGTGTCAGTGAGTGGTGTGAAGCCCTGTGCTGGTAAGCATCCAGGAGTGGTTTGAAGCCCTGTGTTGATGAGCATCATGAGTGGTGTGAAACCGTGTGTTGGTATGAAGCCTGTGTTGATGAACATCATGAGTGATGTGAAGCCCTGTGCTGGTGAGTATCATTGAGTTGTGTGAAGCCCTGTGTTAATGAGTCTCCATGTGTGGTGTGAAGCCCTGTGCTGGTGAGCATCAGTGAGTGGTGTGAAGCCTGTGCTGATAAGTGTCAGTGAGTGGTGTGAAGTCTGTGCTGATGAGCGTCCATGAGTGGTGTGAAGCCCTGTGTTGGTGAGCGTCCATGAGTGACATGAAGCCCTGTGCTGGTGAGTGTCAGTGAGTGGTGTGAAGCCCTATGTTAATGAGCATTATGAGTGGTGTGAAGCCCTGTGCTGGTAAGTGTCAGTGAGTGGTGTGAATCCCTGTGCTGGTAAGTGTTAGTGAGTGGGGTGTGAAGCCCTGTGTTGGTGAACATGCATGAGTGGTGTGAAGCTCTGTGTTGGTGGGCAGCCATGAGTGGTGTGAAGCCTGTGCTGGTGAGTGTCAGTGATTGGTGTGAAGCCTGTGTTGGTGAGCCTCCATGAGTGGTGTGGAGCTCCTCTGTGTGACCACATCTATGACAGAGTTTCATTTGCTCATGTAGCATGGTCTACAGAACAAATCAGATCCAGGCTACTCACGTGCAATGGCTCATTGAGCCTTTATCCAGGAGACGATCACATAGTACTTTGTATAAAGAGAACACAGAAGAGATTCATGGCTATTTTTTCTGAGCAAGATGTAACTGGGCAGCACAAATATTCATCACGAGGAAAACTCGAGCCTTTTCCTCTACTGGCTTTGTTACATCTAATATCAAGGTTTCTATGGCCTAAACTCAGAACTGGACATACAAAAGTCCTAACAAACCCACCAGTCCAACTGTTCATGTACTGTCCCTGCACAAAGCTGTTCTGTTTCTCGGGACTTGGAGAAACATAGTAGTGAGCCAGGTTCTTATGGCTCATGCCTGTAATCCCAACTACTTAGGAGGTTGAGGTATGAGGACCAAGATTAGAAGCCAGCCTGGAAAGAAATGAAACTTTTATCTTTAACTAACCAGCTAAAAGCAGGAAGTAGAGGTATGGTTCAAGTGGTAGAGTGCCAGCATTGAATGAAAAAGCTAAGCAAAAAAGTGTGAGGACCTTAGGTGAAGTCCCAGTACCTGACCAAACAGAAAAAAAAAAGAAGCACAGTAGTGTGTTTGCTATTCCTCTTTTACATTGGAAATGGTAGTAGTAGATCTGTTTCTTTCAATATAAATTTTAAATGAATCTCTTTTATGTTGAGTCTTTTCTTTGCTAGGAAAGAACATCTTTTAAATTCCATTGTTAAGTTAATAAAAAGAGGTGAATGCAATGCAGTAATTCCTAAATATGTTTGGTTAACAATATGAGCTTGCTTTACTGTGTTTCTAAATACACTAAACTCTTATTAATTCCAGTTTATGAATCCATATATTTTTCTAGAGTATTCATCATTAAAAATAATAAATCTAACAGATATAAGGTAATGTCCAAAGATGCATAAATATTATTTTAGCCAGGTGCCTGTGGCTCACACCCATCATCCTAACTACTCAGGAGTTGAGGTCTGAGGATCACGGCTCAAAGCCAGCCCAGGTAGACATATATGAAGGATTCTCATCTCCAATTATCAGCAAAAACCTGGAAATGGAGGTGTGGCTACACTGGTAGAGTGCCAGACTTGAGTGTGGAAAAAGATTAGAGAGATCATGAATCCCTGAATTCAAGCCATAATACTGGCAACACACATACACACACATGTATGTACATACACTGTATATGTATACATGCATTGCAAGCACATATATGCATACACTCATATGCATGTATATACACAGATATACATATTCACACATATAGTTAAGTCTATATTATAGTAAAGTACATGTCATTATAATAAATTTCTAATTTTAATAATTATAATTAATGATCTATAATTCTTTGTTATAAAGATTTACATGTGATATAAATGCTGTATATAAAAATGATATAATGAATGATGTTCTCTTGGCTAATTGCTTGATGAAATTTGTTACCTGGTCTCTTGCTACTGATAAACCTGTAGCTGCATATGCTAAATCTTCTTATCTCCCTGCATCAGGCAAAACACCACAAGATCTGCACACAGGAGCCATTTGTCTTTTAAGTAGTTAACTTCATTTCTTCACTTGAAAATGGAAGAGAGTGGCTCCACCCCCTATCCAAAGCACTGCAGAGGAAAACGTCCTTACTTCTCATAACCACAGCCAGGCCAGGAATACTCCTTTCCATCCCTGCCTGCCTGTCAAAGAATTGTTGACAATCATGAACTGACATTTGACCTGAAGTCTCAATGTGATAACCTCAGCCTCCTGTCTTTTTCAAAAGATAACAAAGTCATACATTTCTTAGCCCACCAACAAGGTCATCCATGTAGTAAAAATAACCCCAGGACAATATCAGTAGTGCTCACCTTGAACTTGATATAATAGCTACTGATCTTTCTATAGTCTATTCCTGTACCTTCTTCTCTGTTTAGAGACTGCCTTTGAGTGATCTCCATGATCATCTTTGTAGTTTCTGCCATCTCTCCATTTTTATTTTTAGCACAGACAGTTCTTGACTTTGTATTTCCCACAATTTTCTGGGTAGATCCACTGGGAAGGAAAATAGTCATCGAAATCCAACATATTCAGACCAACTTGTTTTGTTCTCTGTGAAACATTATTACCTTGCTCTTCCTTTTCATTGATGTTTGCAAAAACATATTGTCCTGCAACAGCTTTTATTCATTTGTACCATACTATGTCCCTATGTGATACTGTATGACAGCTATGGTGCTTTGCTTAAATGTGGGCAGGGCTTAATTTGTGTGTGTGTGTGTGTGTGTGTGTGTGTGTATGTGTGTGTGTGTATGCACGCATGCATGCGTACATACATGTGAGCGCCGGTACTGGAGCTTGAAATCAGGGCCTCACTTGGCTTTTCCCCCCAAAGCTGGAGCTCAACCATTTGGGCCACGCCTCTACTTCTGACTTTCTTCCTTCAAAGTGTGATTCCAGGCTCTTGGCCTCCTGTGTACTTAGGATTGATTAGCTCATAGACAGAATTAGCTCATAGGCAGAAGCCAATGACATGCAGAATGGCTTCATGTTTCATGTCCACTCCAAACAGCACATTTTTAGACAAGACTCAATAAATGTTTAAGGAACAAATGGATATATCTATAATGTTTTGTAATTAACAAATTTATATCAAGTTTTTCAAGAAACAATTTTGGTATAGTTCTATGCTTGTTCTTTGCTTAGAATATTGCTGATTCCTAAAACAAGATCAAATCTACACAGACACTTAAAATATGTTTGCATTCTTTCTCATACCAGTATTGGACATATGAATAGTTGTGTTATTCTGGAGGACAAATTATAACATAAAGTCATTGGTAATCATAAAAAATAGAGGATAGGTAAGGTAATTAATACTTTTTTTGTGAGCATTTCTTTTTTCTTTTTGTGCTAGTCCTGGGGCTTGAACTCAGGGCCTGGGAGCTGTCCCTGAGCTTTTGTGGTCAAGGCTAGCACTCTACCACTTGAGCTATAGCTCCATTTCTAGTTTTGGGTGATTAATTGGAGGTAAGAGTCTCATGGGCTGTCTTCTAATGGCAATCCTCAGATTTCAGCCTTCTGAGTAGCTGGGATTACAGGAGTGAACTGTTGCTTACCCCCTCTTATCCTTAGCTGTGGTCCCTAATAACCCCCTTCCCACTTCCATGCTTTTCCCTATGCTTTTTTGTGGGAGGCATTAAGACACGCATGCTGAGCTGTTGGTGAGTCAGCAGCGATGGGTTCAAGCTTCCCACCCGGGCGCTGTGCCATAGAGAGATTGATTATCGGGTCCATTGTGACTGTCTGATGACTGTCTGAGTCCATCTGGCTGTCTCCCCAGTTTGGGGAAGCAATTGTTGTTTGTTTTTTAACTTTATTTCTCTAATACAGGTGATAAGGATTATTGTGTCATCCTTTTAAACTTCTTACATGCAAGACTGGAAACCTGAAGTTGCTCCCTGTCTGTCTGTCTGTCTATCTGCGTCTCAGTGTTTGTCTGTCTA